GTTGGGTTTTGAGTTTAATGGATGATGATGGATTTGCTTGGTGGATGGTTTTATTTCCAACGTTCATGAGAGTAAAATAAGTTATTATTGGGACACCAACTTTAAAGTGACAAATTATTGAGTCTTTTTTTACTGTAAGAACCTACTTTCAAAATTCATAAATAGCTTAGACATCAACTGAGTAATTTTTATGATGCTACCACTAACTATGGTTTGAATAAAGTAGATATACACATCCTTATCCCACACAAACAGAGAACCTTTTTCAAAGATTTGAACTGTGACCTTTATTTAGGTCACAATGCAGCAACTCTTAAGCTTCATTTTCAATTGAATGTATAAAACAAAGGAAAGTAATCAAAACAGCATTGATAAAAAAAACCATGTTTTCGATTTTGGTTTACTTTGTTGAACTTGAGTTTTCAAAGGCAGAGGCACGAGCTTCTGGCAGTAGTGAAACTGAGAAGTTTCACTTTGTTTCTCTGAATTTGAAACAACTAGAATATGGTGATTGTTGTGCATGCAATGGAAGAATCTGCATTAGATTCCACTGAAAATAAGTGTCAAGGGATAATTCAAAATTTCTTATGAATATGTTTTGTTGTTGACTCTGTAACTAAAACTGAAATTTCGTGTATAAAAATATTTTTCTTTTCTGTGTTTTCCAACGCGGATGAGTAACACTAGTATTAGGTAAATAAAATTTGTGGATTTTGCAGGATATGGGAAACTTTCCTTACCAGAACCACCGCTTTCCAACAACCACGGGTAAGGGCAATGTCGTAAATATCTTTCCGTTCTCCATTTTCTCTTTGCCCCCATTTTCTCAGTAATTTACTTTCGTTTTTTCAGGAACTTAACGACACTGATCGAATTGCGTTTTCTCTTTTTTGTTGTGGCTAACAAGTATCGAACAGCACATGGCGAGCGCGGTAGATGCCTCGGGAAATCCAATCCCATCGTCGTCGGTGTTGATGGCATCACGGAAGCACATTGGGATCCGGTGCCACTCTGAGAACTTGGATTTTCTAAAGTGCAAGAAGAAGGATCGTAACCCGAAAAGTGTCTTGAAAAGGGTTTTGGCACAAGGTGGTACAATAAGCGAACTCATCTTAGCCGATCTGCGAATGAGCCTATGAACAAAATGGATTAGGAACGAACACTTACTTTAGTGCTTCACTCACCACATCAATGGGAGCGTGAGTGAGAGGAAGGAGAACAAAAGGGGGGACATAGTGATGGAGAACGAGATGAGGCGGGGACGGAGGTGCTGGGTGGTGAAGAGAGCAGGGAAGATTCACACGTTTAAAAAAACATATGATCAGAGTTTTGGAGAGAAACGAAAACCGAAATCAACATGAAAATATTATTAGAAAAAAAGGAAAGAAAAAAAGAAAGACATGAGAGATATCATGATCAAATTATATTGTAAACACATATAATTACAAAAAAGCATGTAAAAATTATTGACGATTAAAAATGCATCAATTATTTACTCACAAAAATCATTTTAAATTTTCAACTTTATATACCTAAAACAGACATTCTTTAGCTTTTTAAAAAATTAATCATTAATCAACCTTCTCACGTTCTAAAAGAGGTTTCTAAAACTCAATTTTTAGAAGTCTTTTTGAAGAATTTAATATTAATTTTCTTTGACCTACTCTATCAGATTTCTTATAGTTTGACTGATCAGTATTATAATTTTCCTTCTCATCAAGCATATTAGTACATTTAGGATTAGTATTATAATTTTTCTTCTCATCAAACATATTAGTACATTTAGAAACTAATTTTAATTTCTTTGCAAACCGAGTTTCCTTAAATATCAAAGGTGTATCACCTTTCTCGGAGTGTCACTCTTTTATTTTTTCAAAATATCCATTTATTGAGGAAAATTACATTTGATACCATCACTAATGAGTGAATTCAAAATCTTTATAACAAAAAAGCGGTTGAAAATGCAACTCATTAATAACATTGTTCCATGATATATTTCAAAATCCCAAAAGTTTTCTAGCTGACTTCTTGCTTTAAACAACTTCAATATCACTTGTAATATCATATGCTCTCATATAATAAAACGAGTTATACGATGATCACACAAATACAAACAAACAAGAGTGAGTTAACCAACAAGAGTTAATGAACATATACCAAAGTCATACTCACTCACAGTGCCCAATCAATCATTACATTTCACGCATTTCAACCTCCTCCATGAAATTATCATATTGTATTATCATCACTATAGTAATACTCAACAATTATGTCTTTCTCCCATACTCAACAACACACATTTTCACACCTAGAACTATACATATGCATCATGATAACACATAAAAACATCATGCCAGTACATTCAAGCAACTCGACAAACACCAACGACAACATGGCAACAAATTAAATAACCTAGATTCATGCAAAACAACTTGGCATAGCAATAACACATGGCATCATGTTTAAACAACTCGGTAAGAAGCTTGGAAATGTAATACCACAACATGACAATATAATAAAATAGCATGGCAACATACAGAACAATATGGAAATATCATAGAGTAGCATAGAAACATAAAATACAACTTGACGAAGCCCAAAACATCATGGTAACAACTTAAACAACTAGGCACGACCCTAAAATATCGTGGTAGCAATTTACACAACTCGGCATAATCTAACAACAACTTGGCTATACACAAAATAGCTCAGCCAACAGCATACATAGCTTGGCCAAGGTCTAGAATAGCTCGACTAAGATTTAAAACAACTCAGCCATCTCTTGAAATAGCATGGCATCATGTTTAAAATACCATGACAACATGTAGAACATCATACTACATACTTTGACTTACGAGAACCATGTGAAATCACTTCTGCAGCAAGTAAAACAATTTCCACTGAAAGCTAGCATGGATCAATGGGAAAGACAACATGGTTAAGTAAAAAATATCACAATTTCCATGCAAAACACCTTAGCATAAAGCAAACATGTGAATTCATTTAAAGTTCAATTCAGTCATGTATGAAACAAGCAAAGTGATATAGTCTTTTTGCAAAAGAGCATGGTTTACTACATAAAGGAGCACGACTAAGCCAATTTTAATGTAGAAAAGCACGATCTGATGAAAGGAAACCTGATTTTAGTGCAGAACATGCTTGGCCAAGCCAATTATTATGCAAATCAGCATGGTTCAGATGGAATTGTGCTGAAAACCAATCTATTATTATAATGTACACAATACAACACGTTCTTAATACAAAAAGGAGCATGGCTAACACATTTTTTTATCCCTATCAACATGATTAATGTAAAATTATACACCCCATAACAAATAAAATGACACATCATGGTAATCACACAAATAAGTGAAGGTTAGTTCTCCTTACTGGCCTTACTCGAATCTTCCCACCTACTTAGAATCCTTAATCCAACATATGATTATCACACTTTATCAACAATGTTCACACATAAAATTAAAGAGCAAGGATATACATGCCAATTTTCAACTCGGCCCGTGGTAAGCTGGGTTGGTCCACCAACCCACCTAGTTTAATTTAATTATTTATTACTTTGTGTTTCAATATTATTAGTTAACACTTTTTTTATTGTATTGTAAATGTGTATAAATATGTTTCAAGAGAGAAAAATATTATAGATTTATCCATTCAATACTCTAATCTTATAAATGTATAAGGGATGCAAAAATGATTAATATTAGAAACTTATTTATTCCCTTTTTGAGCTTGCTTTTGGATTATATTTGAGTTGTATGTTACTTTTTATTTATTTATTTTGAATTATCTTTGAAGTTTAACATCGTTTTAGAGTGAATATTTAGATTTGAATTAAAAAAAATGTAATTTATTTTTACTTAAAAAAAACTTGTAATTAAGTGAGTTAGTAAACCAACCCGTTTAACTCATCAACCGTGGTGGATCATATTAGATTCAAATTTTTTGGTTTGCTAATAAGTGAGTTGGGTTGGGTTGGCTCATTAAGTGGTCAACTCATGATGGGCTAGCCCGACCCAGGTGATCTGTTTTGACAACACTAGATATTGATGAATGGTCCAAAAAGTCTGATGGTAATAATCTAACAAACTTGATTATGATGTGTTCGAAATGAAATTGATACCATGTAAAAGAGTAAGATGATTACTTTTAAGATAATTTTCATCTCACTTTTATTTAAATAACTAAATTGAAAACAAATGTACATATTAAAAGAACAAAAATCTTCTTTATATATAAGTATCGATATATATATGTATAGATTAAATAGTTATTAATTAAATTTTGAATGAAAAGATAATATAATTTTTCTATCGAGAATATTTTGATTACAAAATTTCTTTTAATTTTATATCTAAAATATCTATAAATAATAAGAACTGAAAAAAATGTTAAAAAATTGTGAAGTATATAAGTAAAAAAACATGTTTTGGTAGACATAAAATGTGCCTAAACTGTAAAAATATATATAAAAAAATTTCAAATATTTATTCAGATTTGTCAATAACAAATTTAAAATTTCGTTACTTATATTTAACAACCAATCAATGTATAATTGTTACTATTAGTATAAAAAAGAGTAACAATTTTCTTCATTCACCCCTAAATAAGAAAAAATAATCTCTATATTTATATTACAAACCAAAGTTTTTCTCTGACAGGACAAAGTTTATTTTTTTAAACTTTAGTATAGTTTTTGTTTATTTTATATTTTCTAGAAAGTTTAGCACTTTACTTCAACCTGATTGAGCATATAAACATTTTCCTTTTGTATAAACAGCTTTTTCATCTCAAATTTTAACCGCTTGTACGCGTAAATTAATTAGTTCAAAAAGTAATATAATTATTATTATGTATAGATAAATCAGAAAAAGGAAATGATAAATATTATCAGTCATTTGACACTTACAAGAAATGTTAATAAAGGGTCTGAGTTGACTCGGGCGAGTGGTGCACTCGTTGCTTTTATTTAGGTCACAGGGTTGGGGTTTTTTTAAGGTTTAAAAATCCTAGTTTGACTCAAAAGCAGGGAAGGGTGGAGAAGAAGGTGAAGAGTGAGTAGATCTGACTGTGAAGGAAAAATCCTCCCGAAGTTTTCTTCTTTCAATTAAAGGGTCTTCAAATAATGCTCTGAATCTTTCTTCTTCTTCTTTTCTGTTACCCGTATCACTCTCAGACAATGGCTCGTCCTTGTTTCCACAAGCTTGTTCTCTCCATCACTCTTCAATCCAGACAACTGGTATATTTTTTTCTCTCATTCAAATGTTTCTTATTTTTATTTTTTTATTTTGTGTGGAATTGATTGTACTATATTGTTGCTTTTAGGTTTGGGGTTGTTTGTGAGTGTTGCATGAAAAAAGCTTTCTGGGTCTTTGCTACTTTTTCTGACACAACTTTTTCACCAATATTGGGATTCTTGACCCTTTGCATTTGTGTCGGGGTGGGGGCTGTTAATGGATTTTCTTTAGAGATTCTGATAGAAGGATGGTGCTTTCAGTAAGTTTTGTGGGTTTACAAAAGAACCTTTCTTGAAGGTTTTATGATTTCTTCAAGAGTTGAGCTGAGCTGAATGTTGGTCCTGGAATTGATAGTGGGTTTGGGTTAGTTTACTTAACACCATGCATGCATTAGATATAAACTTTACAATTTTATTTCGTTTGGTGTTCTTAATTGAACAATCTCGCCTATAATTCCTTTGTTGCTGTTTTTTGGAATTAATTCATAGTAGTGGAACAAGAAAGGAGAATTTTAGCATAGTTATCAATGTTGGTGGATAGTGATTGATCCCAAACTTGTTATGACGGTGTAGATGGACTGTAATTGTGATTTTTTTTTTCTTTTTTTATAATTTATGTTTTGCCATGAACAAATAAAAGCTCAAAGGTACTCAAAATTCATGATTTCATGATACATTCATAATTGACAATAAGAAGTCATAGGTCTAAAACAAAGCATACAAGTAAGCAACAACAAAATTCAAGGAAATAATGTATCTCAATTCTTAAAGTTTCAAACATTTAATAAAATCCCTACCAGAGGAATAACAGAGCGAAGAGTGAAGGGTGGGTGTTTCTAAAAATTGCCAGGGATGATGGGTGGCTCTCTATTTGAACAAATAGAGGCAGCCTCAGAATAGAGAAGGTATTGAGCAGATACATACAGTAAATGTCAACTTAATGATCCCAAATACATTGGGAAAATGGAAATATAAAATGAATTAGGATTTAGTAGTTAGAACTTGGGGCTTTACTCTCCATAATGCAATAGTGGTGTGATCAGCATCAAAAATAGAATGATATTGTCTGTGAATAGTGATACATTGTTTGTAACATAAAAATTCTTGCTAATTGAGATCTGTACTATCCTCTACTAGAGATATCGATTATCCTTATTAAATGTTGTTATGGGACAAAATGCCCATATAATCTTTGTTTTGCTCTTTTATACACTCAATGCTTTCGAATGCTGGGATACTGTTGTGGATTCTTGGTAAAGAGGCATTAGTGGGGCATGGAGTGTTGAATTTTGTGTGGTGGCTTATGGTTTCTGCAATTGGCTTGACAACCATGGTGGAGGACACATCTCTAAAATGTTATTGAATGGACAAAGATGCTAAGTACTACAATTTATTTAGTTTACTTTTCAACCCCTGAAAAATCACATCCTAGTCCTCATGTGACCTTTTGTTTACTGAACTCCTTGCTTATGTGACTCTTATTTCCCATTCCAGAGTGAAAATAGACTTCCACTTTTGTGAAACAAGGTTATTCATTCTCAAGAGATCAAGGGCATTCTCTTCCTTCCCAGTCACAACGTCCTCTTGATCATAGATAAATTGTGTGCAAAATGCCACTATTGTACTGTTGCATGTACCTCTCGCTTCTCCTAATGTCCTCGTTTTGCAGTTTGCTGTTGCAGTTGCTGGAGCCCAAATTGCAACACAAATTGTGCTTCTCATCATGACAGAGCAGCCACTCTAAATGTCTCAGTGCAGATGGTTTTTCACTGACAATAATGATGGGGGAGGAAGGATGGTGATGATTTGGCTGCTCCAACAAAGGCTTTGTTATCACTACCAATTTTGGACAGTCTATACCACCCACCCTCACCAACTCCCACTCCTCCATCTGCAACGTCTTCCTTAGGGAGTTAGGGTTTTATAATGACAGGGTGACACTTATCTAACATCTGTGCAGTCCCTGGGGGTTAGGTTTTCAGGGGGAATTAGGCCATGTGGTTCAAATGTTTTTGTTTTTTTAACTCTTCATTTTTGTTTTGGTTTGTCGTGCATCTAGTTAGGCCTAGTTTAGTGTCTCAATTTCTGTTTTTATTTTATTTTATTTAAAGCTTAATATGTACTATAATAATCTAAATATAATATAGTAAACAGTAATAGTGATTACAATCATAGGACGTAATCAGGGTTATAAATAGTGCCCAATAACAATGTAGTGGTTGTAGCAGATCAATAGTTGGTGCCATAGCAGGGCTTGTCTGGAGGGCTATTTTAAGAACTTTAGATTCCAAAGTTGAAATCTATGTATGTAATACTTGTGAAAATGATAAAGAAGACTTTAATTTAGTAGATGATGACTTATAATTCTTATCTAGGAAACTTGTATTTGACTTCTGTTGGTTTTCAATTTTCTGTTTTGTTTGACACCTATGACTTTTTATTGTCAATTATGAATGTTATTAATTTGAGTAATTTTTATTATTTTGAAAACTTATGTCTACAGTATACATTATATAAACTATAGAAGTTATCATAATACTGTGGTTTTCCTGCTATACTCCATCTCATAGTAGGGTTTTTGAAACTTGCCACCATGTATGGCAATTAAAAGCATTGCATGTAATAAAATATAATCAAGTAAATGACAGAAGTAATAAAAATAATGTCAGAATAGCATTTATCCTGCTATAGCAGTTTCGGGTTTGGCTTGTCCACACTGCTTGGGAACTATCCTCTAGACATCACCAGAAACTCTCCAGGGAATCTCAGACTCATAGATAGTGATACTCTTCTATTGTTTTAGTTTTTGTTTCCATCCATCTTCTGCTCTCTTCTTTCTCTCTCTCTCTCTCTCTCTCTCTCTCTCTCTCTCTCTCTTTTATTCCCTTCCATTTTTGGTCTTTCTAAATTCTAACCATGCTCTTTATCTTTTAAACAAACAATAAACAAATTCAATTATTGTTCTTTCAACAAAATTATTTAAACAAATTCTTGTGTTCTCTTTTATTTTCCAATTTTACTTTCTTCCTCTATTTTATTATTTCATAAATTTTGGTTTTTTTATTTACAAATAAATTTCAAGACAAATAAAATCTATTCTTTTAGTGAACTTATATGCTGTGCTACTTCTGCTATTATCCCGCTAACTTGTAAATTGGGGAGTTTTATATGTTTCTAATTTGTCATCTATTTTTCATTTTTTCTATATTGATTATATTTTGCTGCTTTGTTATGTAAGTTTTGTATTTTTTTCTTCCTCCACTGTAATCCCAATCCCATCCATCTTAATTTTTGGTTGTGGATTTTGGGCTTGCCGCCATTTATAACATTGCATACACTTTAAAGTCTTGCTTGTAGAATTATTTCTATGACAAAGGTTTTCTAAATTGCAAGAGATAATTAATCAATGATAATAGGAAATTAAGTAAATGAGGAAACACAGGTATAGGGAAGCTGTACAAATAAGAACAAAAATAGTACTGTGGCTAATTAGGCTATATTTCCCCTTGATTGGAGATACCTTCCAAGCTCTGTTCATGAAGGTGGGGATGATGAGGTCCTGTTTAGGAGGTGATGGTAGGGCAGGATCTGCCCATTTTTCATTTCATTGTTGAATTTTCTAATCTTATAGTTAGTATTATCATGACATCTTTAGGATTGTATTATGAGTTTTTGCTAGTATTGGGAACCTAACCTTTATATTTGCATTTCAGAGGATTCCGGATATTTTTCTGAGGAAATATGGGACCCAGCTTTCTACAGTTGCTACCCTCACTGTTCCTGATGGTAGTATTTGGCGTATAGGATTGAAGAAAGCTGACAGCAAAATTTGGTTTGTTGATGGTTGGCAAGATTTTGTCCAACGGTACTCCATTGGTGTTGGATACTTTTTGGTGTTCATGTATGAAGGGAATTCATCCTTTATTGTTCATATTTTTAATTTGAGTACCTCTGAGATAAATTATCAATCGGCTATGAGAAATCATATGGAAGGACCCTGCTTTGTCAATTACAATCATATTTTCGAGGAAATGGAAGACATAGATTCCATTGATTTGTCAGATTTGTCACCTTCGTATCTTACACCTGGTGCCATGCAAAACAAGGGTTTTGCAGGATCTGTAGATCAACTGACACCTGGGAAGAGTCATACTCCAGCTCTGCAGAATTTGTTCAATGGTGGCTCAAAACTGAATCGTGTAAACTGGGGTGATGGTGGGAGTTCTTACTCTTCTAAGAGTGCCAATTCACAAGGTAGCCAGTCAACCAGAGACATAGGTGTTCAGTTTAATGCTGTTGAGTTTAAAAGGTCCACCGATGAATTGAAGTTGCGTTATTCTAACGAGGAAGCAGTCAATAAAACTGCAAAAAAGAAGCGGAAATCAGAGTCCCGTAAGTTTTTATCCCAGTTCTCTTTCTGTGTAGTAACCCAAAAGATGACTTTTTTCTTTTTATTACTAATGCAACTTGTGTGGAACTATAGAGGGCGAGGAACCCTCAGGTGAAAATGAAGAGGAGGCAGAAATGCGCTATAGGTTTTATGAAAGTGCATCTGCAAGGAAAAGAACAGTGACAGCAGAAGAAAGAGAAAGGGCAATTAATGCATCAAAAGCATTTGAACCCACAAATCCTTTCTGCAGAGTTGTCCTGCGACCCTCCTATTTATATAGAGGATGCATAATGGTGAAATGTTTTTGAACTTGATATTTATCATTATTCTTCTCCAGCATGTTATCTTGAATACTCAATTCCTGTTTTTTCTGTTTTTCAGTACTTGCCTTCTTGCTTTGCGGAGAAGAATCTGAATGGGGTATCAGGATTCATTAAACTTCAGTTGTCCAATGGCAGACAGTGGTCGGTTCGCTGTCTCTACAGAGGAGGTCGAGCCAAGTTAAGCCAAGGATGGTTTGAATTCACCGTGGAGAACAATCTGGGGGAGGGTGATGTATGTGTGTTTGAGCTCCTTAGAACAAAGGAAGTTGTGCTGCAAGTTACTGTCTTTCACGTAACTGAAGATGCAAGCTTGTTGAACTCTCCTCCTGTGCAGCAGCTGAGCCAAAATATGAGCCACACCAAACTCTTGAACCCTCATTTGCAACATCGCGTCAGCAGTACAGTGAAATTGATTAGAAATTAGCGGGGACAGTTAATCCTGATAGCCAGTCTGTGATAAATAGACCTTGCTTCTGAGTGATCTGTTGTTCATCTAATTCTTCACTTAGAACTTTGATGCTTTACATGTTCATAAACATTTGAACTTAGTTGTCCCAGTTCTGATACAAATATATTTCGGTTTTGACTTGGGTTGTAAATAGATTGTTCAATCTAGTTGATCAAAAACTGAGTTGAAATGCTTGTGCTTCAGCTGTTGTTATTTTATTTTATTTTGAAATTTTATTAATTTGTAGCTTCATTATACTGCATGTTTCTGCAGACTGCTTAAAATTATTTTTTTTAATGATTTTTGTTCAAGTTAATCTTTTAAGATTTTGATGTACTTTCATGACATTGTGTTTGGGCAGAATTTTAATATGATATGGATATTAGGTATAACATCAGTGGTAGTTTTCTTCACTCTATGTTCGTATTTTCCATTTATAATGTGGTATTTTGAAAAAAGATTGTTCAATTCAATGGCTGTAGGACATTCTGACAAAAAGTTCTACTATCTAAAGCTAGGTTATTATAATGCAGTAGTGTTCTATCCAAAAAAATGGACTAACATGTGTTTTTCAACGCTAAGATTATTTTATACTTGGCTGAGAATGTAGAAAAATCATTGTCGTTGCATTGTATAGTGTCAAACACTTTTTACAAAAGCAGATGCATATTTTATAGTGAAAAATTCTCAAATAAAACATGTAATTTTTGTGATTATTTTTATATTAGGAAATAAATTAAGTGGTCTTATAATAAAATAAAAATTTATTATCATATTCATAAATATAAATAAAAGTATAATCAAATTGTAAAAGAATCTTTAAAATAATATATCTATACATGTTTATTAGTTGTTAATTAATTTTAAATATATAATATGAGCTTTAAGTGCAATGAGTAATTTATTATTTTTAATATAGTTCAAATCAAACTCTTCTGTTCAGAAAATAAATAAATATATGGAAAAAAGATAGATTTTAGTAGTTTTTACTTTTATTTTTCATATATATGAGAAAACTAATGAATAAGTTATTAATTACTTTAAACATGACATATAAATAGCTTGTGTTATATAATCAATTCTACAATTATATAACCTTATATATAGAAATCAATTAATTTATGTTACTTTACTGTGCATCTATTTGTTTTTCAATTATTTTTTTCAATGACTTTTTCTTTTTTTATTTTACTTCATTTTTTGTATATCTCTTTTATTTTCGTATAAACCCAATTTTTATCCCTTTATTTCTTTCATGTCTTTCAAACAAATCATATAAATCTAAAAAGCTGTTTTTTTAAGAAAGGTTTTTACTTTTTTTAACTCCCATGAATTTTTTCTGCACTTTATTATTTTAAAATAACACTTCAAGTTTTCTATTTTATTTTATAACAAACCTGAATTTTAAATTAATTTTTGAATGGTAGAATTTGAAATAGTAATTTAAGGTTTAATGTAGTTATGGATTGTATCTTGTTAAATACTAAACCTATCCTTCCTAATGATATAATTTGTAGTTAAAACTAGAAATTTTTTACATTAATATAATGAAAAAACAGTCCAAGAATGACAAATTATACATTTCAAAATATATTTTTTTTAAAGTTTCATATCTATAAATCATTCTGAATTTAACAATATAATTTCAACTTCTAGATTTTAAAATCACACAAATACCTCTTTTCAATTGTTTGGTGGTCAGCGTCCAAGTAAAAATGCAAGCCACAAAATGACTAAGTCATGGCATTTTCTTTTCAACCAACCACACTCTTTCCACCTTATCCTTTGGTTCCTCTGGATCCAAAAACATACAAAGTCCCTTCCATACCATACCACTGTGAACTCTACTTCAAGAACCACACCACAGGATATAGAAAAGCCATTCCAGCTTCACCACCAAGGTTAATTTACTCATTACTTTTTCCTGTTTATGTTGTTCAAGCAATCTAAAATAGATTGAAGGGTGTCTAACTAACTTACCAATCCTTCATTTTTTACAATGTTTGCTCATTTCAGAAGAGAATGACCATGACCAGTGCAGCAACTCCAGCCTCAATCCCTGTTGTGGGAAGCTCCAGTGTTGGCAGCACAAGGAGAAGGGAGAGGAGAGTGCACTTCATCAGAGGGATCAATTCTTTTGGGGGGTTGAAGGCTCAGAACAGTGTGACATCATTAGGCTTTCCTGTGTGCACTGAGCAGTGCTTTGCAAAGGTGGTGAGCTCTTTGAAATATCCATCTAAGGGTAGAAGAGGAGGTGCTGCCGCCTCAACCTGCAATGCTGCTGCTGAGATTTTCCAAATTGCTGGCATCATGAATGGTCTTGTTCTTGTTGGGGTTGCTGTGGGATTTGTCCTTCTTCGAATTGAAGCATTTGTGGAAGAGACTGAGTGAGAATTTCATAAACTTTTTATCATTGTTTTCATATATGAATCTCTATCATTAAAAAGGGAAAAGGTTGTGTATTTCTTTGATTCTTGATATGATGTAGAACTAAATAAATCACTGTTGGGCTCAATAGTACCATATGAATTTTTAGTTGGAGAGAAGAGAAGAGTTGTACACAAAGTGATCTGGCTTGTTACATGTAAGTTGATGGGATATGTTTTGTGGACCAGCTATGGAAGAAAATATCAACCTTATGAGAATTTGGCTACAGTTTGTAGCCTAAATAAGAAATGTATTTCAATTGACTTCGTAATTGTTCAACATTTTTTATCAACTAGATATAGGACGAATTTACAGTATATCACATATCAATTAGATATTGGGCACGATATATGAATCAATGCAAATTTCAATTTATAAGTAGGTTTTTAGAAAAGGAGCTTGCATCATTGCATGGTTGTTGTATTATTGAAAGAAAGTGCTTTATTATATAGCTGATGATGTTGTTGAAGATAGTATCACAAGTTGCATCAATTTGAAGTCTCTTCTATACCATTATTAGGCCTTAAGAGAATGCAGACATATCCTGCGAGTTTAACTCTGGTAGCTATGAATTGGCCTGCTTGAAACCTTCATTGGTTAGAGTGTGTGAAATGAAATTCTCTGTGAAGCCTCCTCATATTCAATCAAACCTTCTTTTCTGATTTGAGTCTAAAAGGTTCTTCAAATATTAAATTGCTTCAGAGATCTAACTGCATTGTATATTAACCAATTTCCTTGCCTGAAATCAGCCTCATTAGAGCCACTGTGACTGCTCAGTCTTTTCATTATCACTCACTCTGCTGGAATCCATAGTGCAAAATGCATGTTCTATATACATATATAAATCAATATCCTTGACAATGTACTTCATTTAAATTCCAAGTGAATGTTTGGATTGAAGTCAGAAGGACCCACCAATACTTTTACTCTTGAAACAACAATTTTATTCTTAATTTGATGCATTAGAATTTCTACAAGTGCTTTTTGAACTTCAATCTAAACAAATTTCTAGTGTTGCATACCAGGATCACTTGTAATACCTCGAGAATGATCTTTGAAGTATTTGGATTTGTAAGATGAAAAAGGTCTCCACAACATCTCTATTCTTGAAGTTTTTTCTGAGTATTTTGGTATTGTGCAACAAATCTATATTATCCCTGGGTTTGAAGATGTAATCGACATATAATACCAAAACGGCAAATTTTTTCACACTGCTAAAATTGAATTAGATACAATCATTAACCAAATGTCTCAAAATCATTAGTGGTAATAATTAGATGAAATTTGTAATACCGTTGTGGGAAACCAGTTTAAGGCCTGAATTTATTTAGTTTTTGGAACGTCTGAAACAGTTTTTTGGTTACACTTTACAGTGTGTTTCATCAATGTTGCCACTTAAAAGAAAAACATTTTACATCCATTTGATGCTTGCCAAAACCTAGATTTGGTACCTATCACTCTGTAGTCCTCACTTGTCCATTTGTGTATTACCATCCCCGCAAGCAAGAACACTCCCATTCGGTGTTTTTGTTATTTAAGGGGTTCAAACCATCGACTCTGATCTCAGTGATGAATTTATTGAGGAGAAAGTTTTCCGTAAATTACACAAATATCAATAATATCTGAGTGAATTATATAAAAAATTCACATCAATCTTTATCCAAAACTCTAAAACAATAACGTGCGACTTCTACTTAGACTTATATTCCCAACTAATAGTAAAGTGTACAGTGGAGCATAAACAATGATTGGGTTATACAGAAAGAAAATTCCAGAGTCCCTCCATCCATAGTTTTTGTATATCTTTTAATATTTAAAGAGATTTCAGATAAGCTGAACTTCAAATCCCAAAGTCCCTCAGACTCATCCAAACAAAAGCACACAGATAGATAGAATAGGTGGGAGCCACTTCCATTTACTTATCAAAATCTCTTCATCATTCACCGTCTCACTCTATATAAAACCTCACCTCATTCATCTTCATTTGTACTTTGGAAGTTTCAAACACCACCGAAAAAAGATTCATACACATTTTTCTGATCACCCTTTAAACAATCACCTGTTTAGGGCTGTAGGAGAAGATGTTTGAACCAAGGGACATGTGGACCAAGCTGAAGGAAAAGGGTGAGACCATTTTCTCTGGTGGTGGTGGCTGGAACCCATCTAGCCGTGAACATAACCTCCATGGGATTAAAGAAAAGGAGAAAAGTTCTTCAACTGGGTTTCCTATAGTGGCTTCTAACCAACGCATGGAAGTTGACAGACCTTGGTTCATGTGTTCCGACGCTTCACTCTCCATGCTTGTGGACTGCTTCAGTGCTTGATGGATAAAAGAATAATAACTGGAACGTTTTGATCTGAGTCATGTGTGTTTTAATCTTTGTTCGTTTTTCACTGTGATCAAGTTTTCTGTCCGGAAGAGTAGACTAATGAATAGTTATAATATTATGTATATGAACCATAAATAGAAGTGGTTTTGACTGAAATAAAGTTCTCATACATGTATAATATATCTTTCTTTTTTAAAAAATAACTATAATTAAGTCTTTAAATGTATTTCTTTCCTTTTTATCATTATTAGAAAATAAAAAAAATGTTATGTATCATTAATAATTTATTCCTCTTGATATAAGCCAAAAAACAATAGTATATTAAATAATTTCTTCTCTCAATATGTAATTTTAAGTTATCATAAGAATGAATAACTTAAATAAAAATTAAATTATCCCTAAATTTCATACATTAAGTAATAAAGAAAAATAATTATCAAATTTTT